CCCACACCCACCCCCAGCCCCAGCCCCACACCCACCCTGAGCCCCAGCCCAAGCCCCAGGCCCAGCCCTGGTCTTCTGACACCAAGGGTCTAGAGTTTGGTGAGCATCCGTTAAGGGGCAGAGGAGAATCGCTCACAGTTTGTGAGATAAATAGGTTTCTGCCATCCAGTGCTGTTGACGTTTTGCCACCGATTACATTTTTTTTTCCAAAGGTTTCTTTAAAGTTCTTAGCTGTGGGCTGTGTTTACTCGTGCCTTGGGTCATAGTCTGACCACCCCCAGCCCAATCCGTTTGTTGATTCTTACATTACGGTTCACCAGTAGCTCTCTTGTGGTTAATAAAGAAGTCTTTGTCGGCTTAGGGATTTATTGGCTTCTTCATTTATTTATCTGGGGGTTTTTTAAGACAGGGTCTCACTATGTTGCCCGGTCTGGCCTTGGGTTTGCAATCCTCCCGCCTCAGCTTTCAGAGTGCTGGGATTGCAGGCGTGAGCTGGCAGCTGAAGGCATTAGATGGCAGGCAGGCAGAAGTCAGGAGGCCGGTGGTGAGAGCAGGGAAATGGAGGCTGAAAGCACTGTGTATGGAAGCCTGCAGCAGAGATGTCAGAGCCACGGTCCTGTGGCCAGGTGGACAAAGCCTTCCAAGACTGTTTAACGGCCCTTCTTAGTGCTGATGAAAGACAAACTCACACAGAGCCCAAACCCTTACTTCTGCCCTCAGGCAAGACTGTGGCTAACCCTTCCCCAGCATCTGGATCCATCGGAAGATATGAATCAGATGAAAGAATTTAAGGACATATTGAGAGACAAGGCATATCCCCTGGAACACCTTACTCCAGATGCAGGCCCAGGAGGCCTTCGGAGTGGGGCAACCCAATAGTCTAGGGTGGTGAGGTATTTTAACAGCCTGCTGTATACATGTCTACTAGGTGAGGGCTAGGTCCCCAACGCAGACTGGACAACAAACCAGGAAGAGGAGACAGGCAAGAGCAACCAGTGTTCACCATAACCACTCCATAACACCAACTTCTGCAAGTGGGATGGTGGGGGAGGGGGGATGAGGGACAAAGGAGATGTGAGAAGGGAAGCCCCAGAAATCCTAGGGAGGCCACTGGAATTTCCTTAGGATGTGGGAAGGGGCTCAAACAACGTTTTTGTTTTTGTTTTTTAATTTTGTTTACTGATTTTTTTTTAAGATAAGTTTTCATGTGTCCCATGTTGGCCTTGAACTCAGTATATAGCTGAGGAATGACCTTGGATTCTGGTGCTCCTGCTTGTACCTTTTGAATGTTGAGATAACAACTGTTCCCAGTTCATGCCATGCTGCAGACTGAACTCCATCTTGCTTGGTTTGCCTGCCCACTGCCCACCAGGGTTCTATGCCAGTGGTACTCAGCTGGCTTCCCCAGACCGGCAGCTACAAGCTGGGAATCGTTAAACATCTTGATTTTAATACTTCATTCTTGACTTTACTTCTGAAACTAGAGGTGGGGTGTTGATGGTGAGGCCGTCAGTTGGCATTTGTACAAGGCCTTCAGTGTTTCTGGGTCAGGCTCCCCTTCAGACATAATGATGGGCCCCAAGACACTCATGGTTAGGGAAGAGAAACTGAGTCCCAGCCCACTTCTTTTCCCTGTTCACTCAAAGTTCTCTCCTGAAATCCAGTCCTTTCCCTCTCCTTAGGTCTTAGGTAGTGACATTTCACTCCAGTTATTCCTGAATCTGTAGGGATAGGTCTGCTACAGCAGATCTCCACACTCTCACTCTGGAACTATGCATGGTTGGAAAAATTTATTTTTCCTTTTCCACAGTCAGCCCTGGCTGTAGTTTTTGCCATTAGCTTTCTCCTGATATTTCCTTTGAGACTGCAGGATTACCATCAACATCTGCTCTCTTCCCAGCCATGCTTGCCAGGAACTTTAATTTCTATCTGTACTAGAACGCCTCTTAAATCCCTGAGTTTCAAGGCAACTCAAAGGCCAGAAATCACCCTGGCTCACAAAACATACAATGAATACCTTCTGGCCTCGTGATGCTGCCCAGGTCATGGAAAAGGGATGTGCTCCCTGGAGCTGAGTTCAGATTCATATTGGCCATGATTTATGTGACTCAGCAGCCTCTTCCTCCATGGTTCTTTCTCTGCAACTGTTCCCAGCAGCAAGACAAACCAAATCGTAGGAGATTCTGTGATGACGTTATGAGGACAGATAGCAAGAATAAGCCTTCCAGTGGGTTCTCCAAGACCAAAGGTGTTATCTGTCCTTAGAGGAAGCCACAGTTGTCTCCTTCTCACTGAATCTGGTCCCTGTGACACAGGTCACTTTCCCTCCACTGCCTAAATGCTCCTGGGTCAGCCTGAGCCTTTCTAGCATCTTGGAACCATGTAGAGGATATTCCACAGCATTAATAGTAGACCCAACGCAGAAATCAGGTAACTCATAGACTGGGGTAAGTCTGACAGGTCTCAGGCAGATGATTCCAAGTCACCACCAGGCAACTCTTTTCCCAGGATGAGGAAGCTGGGTCTGTTAGGAAGCTTGGTGACAAAGAGAAGAGAAGCATCAGCCCACTTGGTGATGTCCTTGTGAGTGATGCTGTTCTGTTTGGGCTCTGTTCTTTCTGTTTGCCCGTCTGTTCTCTTCCACTCTACTCATGAGGGACTGCCCTGATACTGCAATTATCCCTTTCTCCTTTAAATAGAGTTTGTAAAACAAAAAAATGATGCCCCAGCAGCTCTATCTCATTGCTCCTTGATGCGGACGATTCCAGGTCTTGTAGCTTTTTCTGTACTGGAGATTCACTGTGTAGGCTTGTTATAAATAATTAGCTAACATAAGTAAGCATAATGTCATCTTGGAAGATTTATACCCTTGGTCATATCACCTTCACACCTTCACGGGGCATCATATCATTTCTCAATATGAAAGTAACTGTATTTGTTCCATCCCATGTTCTGTTCCTGAATCCTCTTGTATGTACTTTAATGCCATAGTGACACACATGGATGTGTTTCTCTGTCTCCTTTCATGTCTAATATTCCTTCCCATATCACTATTTTTTTTAACTTCTTAATTCCATCCATTTTAGAAACACCATATGATCAAGTTTTCTTCCCCCACCCCCAACCCCTTTTTATTTCACTGAGTCTAATAACTTGGGCTTTTGGTCATTGTTAGCCAATTACAATATGGCAAGAACTATACTTGATCTTGGTTTTTTCCAACTTATTTTATGTTTCTGTTCTTAATCCTTTCTTTTTTTCTGACTCCAGCGATCAGATTTGCTCCCCCTCCCGTTTGTGATTTGCAAATTAGTTTCCATTTTGTTTTCTTGTTAAAGCTTAATTGAAAATTCCCAGATACGGTTAAATTAAACTTCTTTATTTCATTAGCTAAAAGCAGTTGCACAAGTGAAATATTTACATTTGAAAAATTCAAGTAGCAGATAAATATGCCGGGGCATGCCTGAGATCCCAGCCCCAGAAGAAGCTGAGGCAGGAGAATTGGGGGGTAGGGGTGGAGCCAGCCTGAGTTTACATAGGAAATTTTATGCCAGCTTGGGCTACATACAGTGGGATGCTGTCACAAACAAAACAAACGTCAAACAAGATCAAGGAATGTAGAGTGAAAAGTGTAAGTTTCTTTCATGGCCCCAATCTTGTTGCCCTCTACTACCCACAAAGAGCCAGTATGCTAACACCAAGATGGAGTGTCCAGAGTTTTTCTGTGCATGTGTGAGAGTGTGTGTGCAGGCAGATTTATTAATATTTCAAAAATCATAAACAGAACCCATTCCCACACCTTCCAGCTCTTTACTTCTTCCATCTGCTAGATCTCCATGTAAGTAGGTAGGTCAGGTTCCCTATTAGTGCTCACATACCTGTTATTTGTGCTGTGATAATGGCCCATGAGATGGCCTTTCCCATGTTACATACCATTCTTCTAATGACCAGTGCTTAATTCGGTCCCCATTTTTCATTTCAAAAAAGTTCTTGTAATAAATCTTTGACATATGTAGTTGTATTGATAATTAAAGTGAAGTTCCTGAGTCAATGAAGTAGGGGCCTTGA